AGATGTGCTTTGCGGCATGTCCAGTAGCTCATGAGCAGTTCAACCACTTGTCCACGGACTAGTAGTAACACTGAAGGCAATGCTGTCCACAGGCAGAGCATGGAGTCATGCAGTGGGGAAATGAGATGGAAATAACAAAATGAACAGGTAGTTTTTTAGGCTCCCTCAAGAACAGCCACAGTTTCAGACAACATTTGAAGTGACTAAACCAGAGTGGCCCACTGTCATGCAAGTGAGCACCTCTTGGTTTGTATCTTAGCAACTGGCCAGCCAAAAGCAGATGATCAGCACATCTGAAAGCCTCTCCAGACTCACTTGAAGCTTTGAGTCTAAAAGCTGTGCTGAACTTCCTAGAAATAGGCACTGCTGCAAGAACTGACCTACTTCAGAAATAATATTCCAGAGCATGGGCTGGAGACGACAGGATCTGTTTTAAGTTATGTCCCTTAGTCATTGTTCAACTAATTTTTTGTCAAGGCCCACAGGGACCTGTGCAGGACCTTGATGGAGGCTGGCTGACATGTATTTCCAGTTTGGATCCAGGTGGAACCTGCTTTTTAGCTCTTTGCTCCCAGGGTTGTCTATACGACCCTGCTCATTGCCAGTTGGCCCTTCCTGAGCTGCTTCTCACTGACATATCTAGAGCACTGGAATTCTCCTCTGTGAGTGGTGTTAACACCGTTCTGGGGACCTGCAATGCCTTCTCACAAGCTCACTCAAGAAAATGAAGTTTAGAACTGTTCCAGACAGAATTCTGTGTAGGACAACGTAGCCCTTCACTGGTAACAGTAAATCAAATTAGAAATGTTCCTAAAATTTAGGATTAACATCAGACCAGGCTGGATTTCCTCGGTTATCTATGGGAGAGAGTAAGTTTCTATAAATAAACTGAAGCATTGCAATATTTCTGATGAAGTTCAAAACAAATCCAAACTGTCAAAACAGCCCGAAGCCTTTCAAAGCAACAAGACCCTTTTAGTCCAAACACATAAGCATTTGCAGATACACTGGACTGGACAAAACAAGCCAGTGTGGGAATGCAGAGAGGGAATGCTGGAGCAGCAGGCACATGACTACATGCATTCACGTAGCACTCAGTGCTGACAGATTACTTTTAGGGGTGAGGTACAAATGAATATTCCCTTTTCAGAACAGAAAGAAGTGAGACAGAGAGAAGCCAGTACCTTTTCTCGGGGCCCTTCAAGAAACGAGCTACAGACAACTTTATTTGCTTTCAAAGTTGCAATCCCATGAACTATGGGATTTCTCCCTTAAAGCTGATGGCTGCTAGACCTGCTTCATACAAATCTGATGAGCACTATATGTTTGAATGTCCAAACATTCATTAGAGACCCTTGATTCAAAACCTACTGTAACATAATGTTTTGTGTGTTCCACAAGCCTGCTTGTGGTATAGACCATCTGCCACTCAGTACCATGGCTATAAAGACAAAATACATTAAACCAAAACCATATTTATGACAGATTCCACTCTGCCACGACAAACACCTCTAAGTGCTGTCACTTGCTTCAGCACCTCTTCCATAGCGGCCTACCCTCTTCTTTATAGCACTTGTACTGGTCAGGAACCATCATGATCTTTGGAAGAAGAAGTCCCCAAGCAACCATCTCAGGCAGTTCCAGTTGTCTAACTGTCCTCACGGCAGCAAGGGGCCTCCCAGCACCTCTGCAATGACCAGGGCAGGGGTAAGGAAGGCAGGAAAGGTAAAGGACAGGTCTTTTTGCATGTGACATATCTAACATCAGCTGAGCACCACAGGAGTTTGATCTTGTAGCCTCTAAGGCTAGAAAGGGGCTGGGCAACTCTTCAAGATGTCTCATGAGTAGCTATGCTGCAGAGCTACAAAGCCTTAACAGCCACAAAAGGTAAAAATGTGGATGCTTGGCAGTTCCCTTAAACGCTGTTCGACTGTATCTCACTGAGGGACTGTGTAAATGTGAAGTGTCTTGAAAATACAGAAGTGCTAAGTATGATTACGACTGCCATAAGTAATGAATACTACAAGTTGATAGCGCTGAGCTGATTTCGAAGCCATCTGGTGCAGGCTTCTAGCAGTGCTCTCAGGGGAAGCGGGTGAACTCCCCCTAAGACCTTTGAAAGCCAGTGTAACTCCAGGCAAGCCAATCTGCCTTAGTTCAGTGCAACAGCTCTGTCAGCCAAACTCTGCTCCAGGCAGGGATTAACCACATAGGCAAAGGAGAAGAATTGTTTTAACAGGAGGAAAGAGGAGAATAATGGAGAAATAATCAGTTGTCATTAACTGTAACCTCTAAACAACATGTGGAAAATATGTCCAAACACAGAATATGCTTCAGACATAATTTAACACACTTTCTGCCCTTAATACTACAAACTCAACCACTGCTTCTGTTTTCTCTGTCATTTTTGACATGTGCACAGGCACCTACTAAATTGTGCCTCTTTCCCAAGTTCAACATACAGCATCTGCATTAGCAAAAGAGGCCCCTGCTTGGCCCTGCACCCTCTTCCACTATGAACATCCTCAAATAATGGAAGATCTTTACAGCTGAGGGCTTGAAGAAACCATTCTGGGATGTGTCTGCTATGAAAGGGACAGCAATTTCTCCAGTCACTGAAATGCAGTTTTGTAAAGAGCCAAAGCATGTGTTCATAGGATTTGTGAATTTGGATAACAAAAGAATCCCTATAGATTATACTCTATACTAACTAACTCACTAACTCATTCACAGATCTTTTTTTTGCTCTTTGTTAAAGCCACATTTCACTTGAAGACCAGTGGGGGACTATTATGAGATGTTATATATATTAGCAGACACAGACTTTGAGATGCAGATGAAATAATGCAAAGGGAAGAACCTAACAAACTCCTTTCTTTTCCCCAGAATTCTTAATGGCTGCTTGAAAAATGACTCTCACTGGGTTTGTATCTGTGTATTTCCAAGGGAATTTGTACACCTTTTTGTGTGCACTCAAATTTGTGCAACCCCATTTGTCACGGATTGGCCAAAAAATTTACATACAGATAAAGCCTTCCATACTTGTCAACCATTCAGGAATCCAGCAGTCTTTTAGCCAAGCATTCATCACCCTCAGCTGGTAGAAATTGTGGCATTATCTAAAACTCATCTGTCTTTATTATACCCTGCTACAAAGGGAACAAGAAATCTAATGTACCCATCCAGCAAACAGCAGCTTGATCCTACAAAAGGGAGAGATCATTTACTGCAAAATCAACAAAGGGGAAAAGAGCTGAGCAGAGGAGCTGGATGGCATGGCCAGGGAGGGAGCCTTTCATTTCAGCACTGCTCATTAGCATTGTATAGAAAGCAGGGCTGCAGGATTTCAGCACATTCTGTCTCTCTTCTGCCTCTTGTAACTCAACCAGCAACATAATTCCTGGTTAAATACTGCTCTCACTTGTTTCTTCTTAAATAAGAGGCCCCATACCCAGAGTTTAGAGGTGCTCTCAAGTAGTTTGTTGGTAAAGTAGTAGTTGTACAGATTCCAGGGGGAAATACACATGGTCTTCCCTCTGCTTTATCAATACTTTCATTCCTATAGCAGGGAATTATGGCATAGACTGCACTACTGGGCACTGCACATGATAATACAACAAAGGAAATGTGAAAGAAAATCAGCAAAGCTGCCTGATAAGTCTCAGTGTTCAGAGAGTCCACCCCACCCAGAGAGCATGGAGGAATGGTATTTTTTCCAGGGGCTATGTTTTATTTACCTAAATAGTGCTGCACTGCAATAATACACTGTGCTTGTGAGCTCCAGAGATTGAAGAGACCTGTGAGAGATGGATTTATAATACCCTCCACCCCAGGAGGATGAAAGAGTTGTGTAGATCTGGATTTCATTACCCTTTGGCCCCTCAGCTCAAGCTGTGGCCATGGGGGACCAGAGAGGAAAGCAATTCTGAGGAGAGGGTTTTGAGATGAAATGTCTCTATTTTGTCACACAGAAAGCGGCAGAGAGAGAATGAACTTGTCTTTCCCAAACCCCTGTGTGGGACTCACTTTTCACTGGGGAACCTTGCTCCCAGTGCCCCAAACACAGGCCACAGAAGAAAACCTCCAGGCACAGGAAGCCAAGTGGCCAGCATGGGCCTGCAGGTCAGCTTCACCCCATGAGATGCTTCCAGCCAACCTACCTGCTGAGGCACAGGGACATGGACATGTGAAATATAGCTGCAAACTACTGCTACTCTGTGTATTGGTCCAGCTGTGCTCCTTTGCTGGTGAAACCCCGGGGGTCACTGCAGTGCCTTCCAAACTCAGCCACCCTGTAGAAGGGAAAGGAAATCTTGTCCTCCTTCCCCCTTCTGAAACATGCACACTAAAACTAAAATTATAGTGATTCCTTGATATGGTTTACCCTAATTTGTGTCATAACTGGAACAAGATCACAAAACATGCTTACTTTGTCAGCTGGGGGAAGCTAAGAAATGCAGGTCAATAGGAGTGGTAATGAGAGGGATCAGGATGGTTTGTGTTCTCACCCCAACCTTTGCTCGTTCTGCCTCATTGTAGGTAGATCTGTGCTTCACACATTCATAAACTGGTGAAAATCATTTTTGCCCACAACATTGCAAAGCTGGGGTTAAGCTTATTCATGAAGAGTTTCAAAGTACTCAGGGGAGAGAGGACCCGTAAACTTAAGCAGCCACACAGCCCTTCCCCAAACACCAAGCAGCAAGCACAGGGACACAAATACATCCAAAGTTCCAGTGCTGAAGAGCTTGGGGACTATGCTGAGGGTCTCAGCTGAAAGGTGACACTTGTCCATGGCTTCAGACAGGAGCCCACCTAGGAGCGCTCACCAGGTAACCCTTCCCAAGAGGCACGAAACAAAAACCCTCTCCGCCTTCCAGAAAATGAGAAAGACTTCCTGGCTCGTGTCTTACCCCCCAGTTAGGAGCTCAGTCTCATTTACCACTCCTAACCACGAAGGGGTTAAGACGATCCTTGCCCAAAACTTCTCAGCGAACAGAGCTCACCGACTCCCTCCCTTCCCTCCGCGCCGGGAGGCAAAACAGCCCGGGCGGCACCGTCCTCCCTGCTGAACTGCTGCCTACCGCTGGGCAGGGAGGGGGCTGCTTCCAGCCGAGCGGTGAGGCTCCCGAAAGGAAGGTTCCTTGTCCCCCTTCTCCCATCGCCCGCGGAGGGAGCGCACCAGCAGTGATGCTGTTCAGTCAGACTGTCAGTTGACATCTCCAGAGCCGGAGGAAGAGCCGTGCCTGCCAGCGAAAAGCGCGACTTCAACAGCAAAGGAGAAGAAAGTGCACCCGCCGTGTCTGTTGCTGAACAGACAATATCCTGACTCCAGCGATCAGACAGCAGACCTCCTCTGCATGAATCCCACTCCCTGGGAGGAGATGTTCCCAGATAAATCATCAGCAAGCTCATGGGCTGCACCAGCTGCTCTAGTGCCTAGTTCCAACACCCCTGCCTGCTCTGAAAGGTAACTATGCTTTATTCTGTTCTCTTCCTATGCACTACCACAGCCGAGACACTGACACGATCGCGCACTTCAGCATGACAGCAAAACTGCCGTCTCTCACTGAAAGCAGAGACCCCCCCTTTCCTCTCCCTCAAGTTCTCCCTGGAGAAAATGCAAACCGGGGATGGAATTGATACTTTAACACTTTACACTTCAGTGCTGAATTTTCTCTCTAAAGGTCACTTAGGCAGAACACACCTGGTACGGTGTGTGTTCAAACCTTTCTGTGTTTGCCAGCCAGTTCAGTGCAGTCTAACAGCCTTGGAGAAGCTAGAAGTAATTGTTCTGGTCTGTCCCACTTGGAGCACTGGGTGGAAAAGCAGAAGAGAACTCAGAATAGTGTTTGCACTCAGAGATGCTTTGCTGCAAGTGGCACTTTAAGCGAGTACGTGAGTTGAAGGAAGCAAGCAGGCAAGACAAGACATGTTCTGCAGTTGCAGAATACATTTGTACTGTCTGGCTACACTGTTTTGGGGAAAATCTGACTTTCTCTGCTCGTCTGTGCCCTACAGAGGTGCAGAACAGGGCCATGCAGCCTCCATAAACACTCCCTGAACCTGAATCTCCCCAAGTCTGATTGCTGCAGTGGGAGCATGGTGATTTAAGTGCCATGAAGGCTTGTGAATTTCCTGTCTCAGTGACACACTCTGAGAAGAAACCTTTCTGTTGTTTTGTATGAGGCTTCTATTCTCATTACTTGTTGTTATGATGTGAAATACATTGGTTTGGGGTTTTGTAATCCTTGCTTAGAAACAACCATAAACTGATAACGAAGTGTCTGCTTGGAATCAATCTGTACCCACTGAGCATGCTTGGCACATCTCAGAAACTATTATCCAGCCAGAGAAGGATTACTAAGCCTTGATCAACAGCTGAGATCACAGGGAATGTGGGCTCTAGTTATGCTGCTGTGCTCTGTAACAAACTTCTACTATCTCTGTCCATGGACTTGAGGGCTTCCCAAGGAAACCAGTGAGGTTTTGCCTCCTGTGATCGAAGTCATGCAAAGTTACAGTGCTGACCCCCTTTATACACAGCTTGTGTACAACTTACTTCCACATGACTTTGATCTCTACAAAGCTTCAAGCTTCTGTTCCTTAAAGGGGAGTGTGCAAAGGTAAATCTAATACCCAAACCCATGTGCTCAGTGAGGTAATTTGGTAGATTGAAAAGCAAAAATCTTTGGGGTTGCCTGGAGCTACTGAAGTATTTGCAGCTCGTTTCTGGGAAAGATGTCATTAATTCCACAACTTTCAATGTTCTGAATGGTTGATTGCTCCTCAGTTCTATAGCTGAGACTACAAAACCAAAAAGCTGTGCCAACTCCCCATTGCTAACACTTGTTACTATTAATCTGCTGCTTTTATCAATAAATGCCCAGCTGAACTTTGTTAATTCAATGTCTTGGTTTGCAGTTCATTATTGAACCTCAGACTAATGTCTTCAGTGTTGTGCAGTCTAATGTTATAAAGTATGTAAAGCCATTAGGCTCCCTGCTCCTTAAGGAGAGAAACGAGATCTGGCTTTTGCTCTCAGGAAGATAGCAGAGGAGATGGGCAAAGACACTGCTCTGTACTTGAACCCACAAAAGTGTCAAATTCCAGTCTGACTGCATTTCATTATCAATAGAGAAATATTGTAGAAACAGAGGTTTAATATGGCAAATAACTTTCTCACCTTCTATTTCCCACCTGGTGTGTAACATAAGAATATTCTTCATAGGGGAAGAATTCCCATTTCTAGGTTCAAAGTGTGAAAATCACACTTACTGCCCTAAAATTGAGAGCAAAAGTGCCTGGCTGCACAACAGCCTTCACTTTCGCGTGTCACACTTCTGCATCAGCACCAAACCTGCTGCCAGTGTAACTAAGTGGCGCCAATGGGGTTGGGTCAGCCCCTGGAAAAGTACTGAGCAGCCGTTTCGTTCCATGCTTGCCCACATCTTCCTGCACAAAGCACAGCACAGACTCCACTGCCCCCACAGGGACTGCAGAAGTCAAGTCCCTAGGCAAGTTTTTCCATCAGCAATTTGGCCCAGTTTAGACAGCCTTTTACTAAGCAGGATCTAGGCCAATAGTCCCTAAATTGCATCGCTGTTATCTCAGATACTTTGCTCCTGAAGAAGGTGTTGCAGGAGTTGGGAGGTAAAGTGTAGACGATCCCCAGTGTCCCTTCTCCAACAGCTCAGCACATCAGATGTTTCCTATCACATGAGCCAAAATAGGGCTGTCTTGCTTGTAATGAAAACCTGGATATCAGCCCCTTGATGACTCAGACCTCCAGATTTCAAGCAGCTCTCTCTGAAGAACAGCAAGGTGGTGTTCCCATTGGTGCATGGGGAGAACACAACCAAACATTGTCAATAAACAGCTACATTTTACAAGCTGAAGCCTCATGAAAGTCATGATGTTTTGCAGCAGAATGTCTTTTACATGAAATTTTCATCTAAAAGCATCAGGAGTTTTTATCATTTTGACCTAATGCTTCATTTTAATCTGACTACTATAGTATATTACCATATTAATATTACTACATTCACATCTCATGTAGGCATATATGTAGTGAGCACTACAAATGACTGCATCACTTTTGTTTCAGCGTTACCATTTTTGTTTCAGCTAAAACCAAAAAAGCAGAACATGATGCTTTTGGATGCACCATTTGCTATGAAATTTTGGCATTTACACTCTGTGTTTCCAGCTAAAAGAACTGAAAATGCTAAAACATTAAGATTTCTCCCATTTCTAGGAAGTTCTGCTCTCAAGCAGTAAGTGGAGCATCACATCCTGTGACAGAGTTGCCCCAGAAGAACAGGTAGAGCTCTGGATGCCTGCCTGGGGCACCCTGTCTCAGAAACAGAGGGTCCTGGTAAATAATGGATGAGACACACATGGTGGAAGACACTGGCTGGATTCATATCTCCCCTTCCTCTGTGACATCTAATTCCATAGACTGTGGGGCCTTCTCCTACCCATAAGTAGTGAGTGCTAGTAAAGAAGAGACCTTAACAATTAGGTCTTTCTCTAAAGTTAAATACTCAGTGCTCCTCCTGATCATAAGGTGTCTCACAGGAGCAGGTGAGGGTTTTCTTATTTGTTCAGAAGATACCACATATATTTGCTTTGCTATTTCGATACCTGGTTTCATTTCTCTCTCTCTCTCATTTTTTCCCTTTTAGAAAGTCAACTTTTTGCGTGTTCCTAACAAGAAACTCAAAACTCCATACTCTTTAAGCATGTATCAATAGCTCTGGATTAGGAGAGAAGAGACTCCCCCCAGCAGTCTAGCAAAGCAGACAACAACCTTCCCCAGCTCATGCAAGGACAAACGACATGCTGTAGGAGAATCTGGCAGAAAGCTGACTGACTGGAAAACAGCACCTGCAAAGACCAGAGCTGTGCAAACCTTTGCAGTTCAGTTTGAGAGAAGGACCAAAGCTTTTCACCTACCAAAGGAGGTGGCCTACCAAAAGAAGGACCAAAGCATTTTCAAGACAAAATAAAAGCCAGATACAAAATATAAGTCTAATGCTTGTTGTCGTTGTAAATGACAAAATGAGTTGAAAAGGCCTATATCATGCAATCTGCTTAACTGTGTGAATCAGCAGTCTTGGGATGAAGAGGATGGAACAGTTCTTGCTGAAGCCATCGTGTATCCTAAGTTTCCTCTCTTGACCTCCCTGGTGAGTCTGGTAAGAGAAGACAGCAAACCTGAAAGTAAATGGTGAAAATGGACCAAAGGTGACAGAGAGCAATGACTGAGCTTTATTTCAAATTCCGTGGGAACCTGACTGGCCGTGTCCACTTTCCAACTCTGGCTACAGAAGCAGGCACAAGAGCAGATAAGTATTCCAGCCTCTATGTGTATGTGGGATTGTTTCTAACACTTCTGGCTATCCTTCTCATATTGCTTTTCTCCATGCTCTTGCGCCTGAAGCATGTTATTGCCCCAATCACCACATCTCCGGAGAGCACTGAGAATACAGTCCAGCAGTTCACAGATGTGGAAATGCACAGCAGGATTCCTACCACTTAGAGACCCCAAAGCAAAAAAGCCTCTGTGCTTGTGAAACATGTTTTGTTCTGCAAAATGGTGGTGGAAAGAATCTGCCTGTCTGTTGAGCCCTAGAACTTACTGCACAACCATCAACAGCAGCACAGAGCATCTGGAGAGTGTCAGGCAGCTCAGACTGACTGGCTGGGGCCCACTGGCTGTTGACACTACACACAATGTGTGTGCAACAGCCTCGGTAAAACTGACATTACAGAAACCTGCTGTTAGGAAAGCCTTCTATCCCTCCAAAAGGCCTTGCAGAAAATGGTAGAAGTCGCAACAACAGCCAAAAAACCCAGAGAGACATGTACCAGAATGTGTTCTGGAGCCTGGATTTGCTGACTTCTCTCTCTGCCCTTAAATTCCTTGTGAAGAGTTGAATTAAGAAAGTGGCGTAAACAGGAAAAGCCCATGGGACATGGACAGAAATTATCAGTGGTTTGGAAATTCTCAGGCATTTATCCCATTCAAGAAGGAAAACCATAAACTGCTTTTTTCCCACTTGATTGGCAGATTTACACGGCAGAGTTTCAGAAGTATACAAATGTGTCATCACCTGCTGGATGTATTGCTTCCTGACATTAAAAACCACACAGGGAAGAGCTGCATTCCAGATATCAGAAAGAGACAGAACTTTTAAAAGAGGAAAGAAAATAAAAATAAAATTGAACAAAGGTTGAAAATCAAAAGAAAGTGTCAGCAGGAAATGAGCACCAGGAGAAAAAAAACCTGTTAAAAGACATTCTACCTCTCTTTGCCTTTGTTCTCCATTAGATAACTGAGGTGAATATAATCATGTTCATGCCGTTTAGCCTCCCAAGTGTCACTCAGTAATTAAAATGCAATGTGAAGTGTGAGTCAAATGGACATCATTCTCCTAAACAGACCCAAATTCATAATCCCATGTCCTCTCGTACTCATGTTGGGTTTTCTTCCTCAAAAGGCAGACCAGGTCTGCCAAAGCTTTTTCACTTTTCATTTGTTTTCCTCCAAAGAAAGTTGAAGAAACGCCAGGGCCTGGCACTGCAATAATGAATAGGGTGAACAGCTTTGGACATAGACTAATAGGGAACAAGTAGATGGAAAGTTAACTCACTGAGCACTAAAAGATAGCACTAGATTCAAATATCCTGGCAGATCATTTGGAACAGTGAGGAAAAAAAATGTTTCCTTACATTTATGAAATGATAATCTGACCCAGTCCTCTCACCTCTGACTGATGGCCAGAGACAGACTTTGCTTCTGTGGATGGGAAAGATGGAATCAAATACAGCATGTTACTGCTGGGAGAGTCACTGCCTCTTACAGACAAACCTTGGGCAAGATTGATTGAGCTACGTGTTTACAAGGCATGATTTTTACCCATCTTCTTTATTGCAGTCTCATTCTGGCTTAGCTATACAAGCCCTGTGTGCTTTCCACATTTATATACACTTATTTTCCAATAAGGGAAATTTCCAAGGGCTTGGAAAGCATAAAATCTCACACAAAACCAATGCTAAAATTAGAGAAGACACTGATTCCATGGACTTGTATTAGTAACAAGAAACTGCTTCTCAAATGCTTTGTGTACAACAGGTTCTTTATTTACATTTAAAAGTCTGTATATGGGTGAGCTGTTTGGTTTGGCTTTTATAGCTGATTGTGTTTGTGTGGCGAACAGAATGATAAGTAACATTCATACTGGATACAGTTGGTCCACAGGCAGGACTAGTATTTTCTCAGTGATACATTTAGTACGAAACTTTAAAAATTGCTTCCTTATTTAGAATAGCACCTTTTATACTCCATTGACCACACATAAGCAGGTTTAATCTGTGAAATAGCACAACAACTGCAATGCTCCAGACCTGGGGAAGAGCGGCTGGAAAGCTGCTCATGGAAAAGGACCTGGGGGTGCTGGCTGATGGAGCTGAACATGAGCAGCTTGTGCCCAGGCAGCCAAGAAGGCCAACAGCATCCTGGCCTGCATTAGCACGAGCATGGCAGCAGGGCCAAGGCAGTGATTGTCCTCCTGTACTGGGCACTGGTGAGGCTGCACCTCAAATCCTGTGTCAGTTCTGGGGCCCCCACTACTAGAGACATTGAGGTGCTGGAGCAGGGCCAGAGAAGGGCAATGGAGCTGGGGAAGGGCCTGGAGCACAAGTATGATGGCGAACAGCTGAGGGACCTGGGGGGGGTAGTATGGAGAAAAGAAGGCTAAGGGAGGACTTTATCACTCTCTACAGCTACTTGAAAGGAGGATGGAGCAAGGTGGGGGTCAGTCTCTGCTCCCAAGTGATAGGACAAGAGGAAACAGCTTCAAGCTGAGCCAAGGGAAGTTTAGACTGATATTAGGCACAAGTTCTTCACCAAGAGGGCAATCAGGCATTAGAATATGGAGCAGTGGTGGAGTCACCACCCCTGGAAGTGTTCATAAGCTGTGTAGACAAGGCCCTCAGTGACATGGTTTACTGGTGGTCTTCCCAGTGCTGGGGAACAGTTGGACTTAATGATCTTAAAGGTCTTTTCCAACCTAGTTGATTCTGTGATTCTATGATTCTAAGGGCATACAGCAAACATGCTCTCAGCAATATCTGCATGCCATGCTTGCCTGTGTTTACCTGGAAAGGAAGCCAGAAGTCAGGTTGCCCTTGAGCTTTCTGCCACAGGGATAATACACAGGTATCACTAGGTGGGATGGTGGCTTCACACCCCATCTAAATATTGGCTCCTCAGGGAGCGCTACTCTCAGTACTGCACAAGAGCACAAATTCTGTGTGATAATTTGGATATTAATCCAACTAAGACAGACAGCTGCTGAGTTAGTTAATGACATTTAAATGTAAGAAAAATCTATGCAGATCAAGTTGGCTTGGTATCTGTCACTCATTCAGCCATCAGGAAGCAGACTAGCCCAGGCTCAACATCTCTCTTGTCCTGTATAACTGCTTAATTTTTCTGATGTGCCGTTCAAAAGCTACAATTTAGAACATAAATGTTCTAACATATTAAATCAGCAACTAAACCACATGAGCCAGCACAACTATCACTGGAAAAACCTTATTTCGAAGAAGCTGCAGGACAGATTCAAATATTGACATAAACATCAGCTCTACTAACGGGAAATGATAGTATCAGAATTTAAGTTGGGACCCAAATTCTGCTTGCTCTGACCTCAGCTGAAAAGCCACCAGAGGCAGATGTCAAGACTGTGTTTCTTTCCTTCATACTAAAGAATGTTAATTCAGAAGAGTCTCACAGCCCTTTAAAACTTATTCAATAAATATACTGTAAATAAAAAAGTAACCACTTTGTATATGATTACATTTTATCACATGGGATCTTTGAGCAGACTGTGTATTTCTATGTAATACTGCTAAGGAAAGGCAGCCCTATCAACACAAGTTTTCCTTTCTAAAGCTTCATTTCACACAAAGTTTCTGTCCCACTTGATATATCGACAGTCCCAGAGGCACTCAGAGTGCCTCATCTGATTGTACAATGCCAGCAGATTTTAAAGCCTTTCTCACTGAGAAATAAAAGAATGTCTTTTCTCCCTTTTCATTCTCATTTGTAATGTCCAAGACCTGACATCACTGAGAAAAGAGACTGCTGGATGCATTGATCTGTGTTTGCTGAGTGGGACTTCATGGACTTTCGCATTCTCTAGCTATGCGGAGTGGCTACTGGAACTTCTGCATGGATTTGCTGGATCTTGGAGAACTGCAGGTTCCATACCCTTCCCCTCCATCAGTCTGTTTCCTTCTCACTTGTCCATCTGCTACAGAGAATTGGGGGTGCTTACAAAATAAAGAGACATGCTACTATCAATGGTCACTGCTCTGTGCCACTCCCATGTGTGGATCTGAGGGACCAGCTCATATGCAGAAATAGGCTCGAGCAGTGCCACTCATTTCAAAGTAATTGTTGGCTTTGGGGGGCATCTGTGTAAAGTATTACTTGAAACAAGACAGTTTGTTCCCAGCTTTCCTCCTGTCTTACACATTGGAAGCAAATATGACTATTTAGTGAATTCATCACCTTCTCCATTCAGCCACAGGGATGCACTGCCAGCGAAAGACTTTGGGATGCTGACAGACTATGGGACTATTCAACAAGCAGTTCCTTTCACTGAGTTCAGATACAGCAAATGCAGTTGAGCTATACCCAGTTTATCTCTGTGCATGTCCCATGTGCTTCTCCTTCCATTTACCTCTGCATATCACTGTGTGAACCACTTACACAGGAAACTGACAGGAAGAAATTATCTAAATAAAATGTTTACATTTGTAAAGTCACATTTCCTTTGATGTAATTTAAAGGTAAAAATGAGGAGAAGCCAACCACCTTTCCTGACCTGTTATCACATGGTTTGACTGCAGTGCTGATGCAGGAAGCCTGGGAGGTTTTGTCTCGTTTCTGCAGATTTTGTCTTTGTGGGTGTATAAAATTCTCTCAGTTGTTTCCCACAAGGAAAGACAAACACTGCAAACAAACGTCTCCATGGCCAGGAAGCAGTGAGAGCTGCTGTCTGTCCCTCAGGTGATTAGATGCAGCTATTTCCACCTCTCAAGGCATCATCTTGCAGCAGTAATCATCATTTGTTTTCATTTTTCTTAGTAGACCCATCTGTAAATAAATGCAACCTGCACTTCTCCTCTTGGGAAAGCTGTTTCTGCCTTCTCATGAGTCTGAAAGATCTTTCATTTAGTGTTAAGAAGGATGTGAGACCATTCAATTGAATGAAAATTGGAGTTTGAACTCAATTTCACCAGACAGATGGGGAAGGCCTTTTAGGCCATTTCAATGTGTATGTGTGGTTATCTCATCCTGGAGTGACCACAGCCTATTCTTTGTCATGCTCATCTACAACCATCCTTTGCTGTGATGAAAAAGCCCTGCAGCTCTTCTCTCTGCTTTTTTGCCATTCTGCAGTCTTTCGAACAATGCCCAATAGAGCTCTGCAGCTTAATGAACTATTTCAGATTTGCAGAAATCCGATCAAATCAATGTTGGAACTTGGCCTGAAGAATAGGTCTGGAAGTGAGGAAATCAGAGGGTTTTCCCTTTTCCACCACAGGCAACCCAGTTTATGATGTAACATGCTTGGTGACAGGAACTACAATACACAAAGCTAACTGCATGCCTAAGAAGTCTGGGTAGCCACATTAGTTTGGAGTGTCTCAGAACTTAGGAGTATCATAGAACTTGTTTTCAGCCCTTTTCTCTTGAAGTGTCTCTAGTCCAACATTATTACTTGAGTATATGTCAAGAAATCTATCAACTCTCCATTGACAGTAACGCTTTAAGGAACAGATCCGTCATGCTATTTATTTAGTACAAGCCTAGATGAAGAATGAGGGAAGTTTATACAAATTACTTGCCATTCCCTCTTTGTCTCTCAGGGTAGTCCTTCATCTTCTCCTGTGTTTTTTGCTGTGGTAAGTGGCTGGCACAGGCTCTAGCTCTGCTTCTCTCTGTCTATTGAGAAATGTATTCTAATTAGAGTTCTTTAAGATTTTTAGCATTTCTAGAGGGAATTAGTTCTTTACAGAAGCAGGGTTTTCTCCAGTGTGGGATTCATACCATAATTAGACAAAATGATGGGCTAAATCCCAGCGGAAAAACTGCACTGTAATTGGTGTTCATTTTTGTTACATAAACCCATGGAGACCATGCTGATTCCTCTTATTGCAGTCACTTCTGAAGCACAGTGTTCAATTTAAAACTGATGTATCGTTATTATGTAGTACCCACAAATATCCTCAAGACTTTATCCATCTAAGAAATCTGATGTGAGCCTTCTTCCTCTGAGAAAAATAAAATGTCCCAAAGAACATTTAAGATCAGTGGCATTTGCATTGCCTGGTCTCAGAAGCAACAGATAACATCCAGCCACGCTTTGCCTCATGGCCTTTATTCAGACATCACTGGACTCAAGTGAGAAAAGAAACACTTGGCATGGCAGAAATCACATCTGTATGTCAGTTAGGTGCACAAAAGAATTTCTTCCAGCCTACAGAATACACAGGGCAAGAAAACAGCTGATTATAATCATAAACCAGAGGTACCAACCACCAAAGACAGATCTTGTTGAATACAAGCAATAAGTGGCCAGATTTTGTGAAAGATACAGATATTTAAATGGTTTTACTGCATCTAACAAATCTTTATTAAAGAGGATGGGTGTTGTTAGGAATTAACCAGATATTTGTAGTTAGTTCTTAGATTAAAAAGAGCAATCTCACAAGGTTTTTCTATTGCCTTGCTGATTTCAGAAGACCAGGATGCTCAGGATCAGGTCAATCAGTTAAAGTCACCTCTGCAACAACTGTATTTTTACGGAGGAACAAAACAGTTCTCTGTGTATATGCAGTTCTTCTGGCTAATGAGCACCTTGGGGTAGGTTGTTCACAAACAGAAAACAGAAAGAGACCTGCACTATATCCCAGCAG